GCAGATGACGGATTCGATACGTATTTTCCTGGCACCAGGATGACACCGATGAGACCTTAAACAAATTGCTTGGCTATGCGCAAATGCCGCAGCCCGGGGCCTTGATCCTGAGAATCGGGGAAGCCTTGTTGATCTTGTTGATTACCCTCTGGTAAACTAACATAACTATGGAAAATCACCATTTTTGATGGGAAAATTCACTATAAATGGCCATTTTCAATAGCTATGTTAGTTTACCAGAGGCTATGATCCGCTGCTTTTTGATCTCAGGCATCTCATAAGAGTCACGAGAAAAAGGTTCTTGTGAGTCTCGGGAATACCAGGCGGGAGAACGTGTTTGGTCGCCCCAATGCTTTTGCTGATTAGAAAGCGCTCAGTGTGTATACAGTTGAACACGAACGTTATTGGGGGGCTTGTGAAACGTGCACAACTTCTGTGACACGTGCACAACTTCTGTGAAACGTGCACAACTGCTGGGAAACGTGCACAACATCTCTGAACCGTGCATAACATCTCTGACACGTGCACAACATCTCTGAAACGTGCACAACATCTCTGAAATGTGCACATATAGAATACTTGAAAACACGGGTTACGGGCGGTGAAACACGTTATGCCCATACCAGGATATAGCAGGATAAAGCTAAGAATCCTGTGGCAGAATTACACTCTATGAAGCCTGCTACAAGCTCACGCTGAGACTTTTTTTCCTTTTCCAGAGGCAATATGACCGCGCTAGCACTATCATTAACAATTTCAACCTTTGAGCACTTGTTTTTGAAAGACAATCCCACTCATGCAATATTTTCCAATCACTATGCCAAAACACATATTCGTATTAGTTGTATTCGTTGTTTGTACTGACACGTGATCATGCCTTTTTGAATATCTGATCATATCTGATCATGATGTATAATTGCAGATGTATACATATAAACGCATGTACATCTACATTTTCATATACATATGATTACTATGCATCAGTGTCACGTACATATACATATGCCTTCTCACATACATTTTCATGTACATATAACAATGTAGGTATACATACCCTCTGGCAATCAAACGTGGCTGGGAAATGCACCATTTATGCATGATTTTCCCAATAACACCTTCACTTAGTTCAAGCATTTCCCATTTCCATGTCTGATTACTGCAAAATGAATCCCAGTAAATCACTATTAAATCACCATTGAATCCCATTATACCATATTATACCTATAAAATCACCACTCAATCCCTATTTAAAAACTCGAAACGGAGCTTTCTCGTTTCGGAGCCTCGTTTCGTTTGAGCTGAGGCTGGGCAGTATCTCGGCTCTTCGGGCGATTTCCTCAGCCGTCGGATCTTGGAGTATCAGCGTGTCCATGAGAAAATGGTGATTTTTCATGGGATTTACCCTCTGGTAATGACTAACATAGCTATTGAAAATGACCATTTATAGTAGATTTTCCCATTGAACATGGTGGATCCTTCCATAGCTATGTTAGTCATTACCAGAGGGTAAGCATCATTTTCATGGGATTTAAATGGTGATTGATTTATGGGATTTCATATGGGATGTATTTTATCATCTTTGAATGGGATTGAGTCGATTTTTGATTTTGGGATTTTTACCAGCAAAACATCTGGGAAATTCTGGGAATCTATTTGATAAATGATGGTTATATGGTTATATATATTATATAATGATTTCTTTTTGGGGATTACACTCTACACAATGTGGATTTGCCGAGTCGATAAAAACGTTGTTTTCGCAGTGAGTGTTTTCCATTGCTTGGGGAATCCCCCTAGAAAGCTAAGTTGGTCTATAACATTTTATGACTACCCTCTGGTAAACGTTTACATAGCGAAGTGGAAAGATTCACCATCTTTAAGTTCGGTAAATCAACGAACTAAATGGGCCATTTTCAATAGCTATGTTAAATTACCAGAGGGTATATTAAGTATGGTTTACTGTATGGTAGATATATCTGCACATACTTGATGAGGTTTAAAACCAACTTTGAACTGGAGGCACCAGCTTGTATATATCGAACATACATTACCATCTATATGGTTTATCATATATATATATACATATATATATATATATACACATGTATGTATGTATATTATCACAACCTTCACCCCATGTGTGTTGAAATACAAGGCTGTTTTGGATAAATAGATTATTTACCTATTTACCCATTTGTATATTATCGCCTGTACACGCCTCTCTGTAGAAATGGCCATGGCTGCAATGTGGGGCCCCCCGTTGTGATGTTTGTTGGTTAACAAAAGCCCCAGTAACTAGTTCGTTATAGTTATAAGTTGGTTTATAAACCATGATAATCCCCATTAACTATAGTTATAAGTACCATAAACCATAGTGAAATTGGAGTTATGTTCACCAACTGAACGCTATCGAACGGGGGCCCCACATGGCTGGAGGTCTTCTATCTCAAACGCTCCACAGATGACCAGCGTCGGGCCGTGCGAACGGGGAGCCCCGGGCCGTGGCTTTTTGGCAGGTTTTCGGCCGGTCAACCAACTGGGTGGCTGGTTAAAGATGGTTGAAATTGACCCGGCCCTGGTAAACTAACAAAAAACATCAAAAAACCATGAAACATCACCATGAAGTTCGGCAAATCAACTATTTCAATGGCCTTGGCTTCCAGCGCGCTATGTATTGACACAACCAGAGGCTAATCCTTCAATCTTTTTCTCTTTTAGAATATCTACTCACCAGCAAGAACTCAATATTCCATCCATCAAAAAAAACCAGCCATTCTTTTCCAGTTTTTGTTGGTTGAAATTTAATCCTCACCAAGAAAAACTCAACATCTTTTTGGCAGACCTGGGATGATATTGGTGACCGAGTGATACCTGGGATTTTTTATCCACGACACCAAGCTCTGCAGATCTTTCGGCCCCCTTCCCGACACCAAGCTGAGACAGTCATGGGAATCAGTCGGTGGAGTAGCAGAACCTGAGACAGTGTTCCATTCAAAAATAAATGTATATATATATAGAAAAACATATGACTATAACCATATATAACCATTAATGTTGGTAAAACAATGACCACCCATATTGTGATGTTTTACAGAACCCATTGATGGTAATTTTTGGGGATGGTTATTATTGATTTACCGACATTATAGCCAATTGTGACAAGTGAAGACTAGAAGTCGTCACACGATTTCAATCTCATTGACACTCGTGGCAGACTCGAAATTGAGGCGTGGAACTCGGTTCTCTTCGTGGGCTGGGAGGGGTAAAAAACACTCTGATCTTATGAGGGCACGCCATCATTGGGATGCAGCGGGTTTTTGTATGTTTTTGTTACGTACTCCAAATGATCCCAAAATCCAATTGAATCCTTATGAAAACCCATTCACTGGCCATAATTATGTCAATTTCCAGCTGTAATGCCCCACGGTTGGTCGAAACTTCCGCCTCTTTTGGTGCGTTTTGAAGCACCCTTTATTTTCCCATCGAAAGGTCATGCCCGAGAAGCAGCTTGGCGGGATCGAGATATCGAGATTCGACAACCCCAAAATGCCTCAACCATGGGGATTTCAGTAAGAAAAAAATATGTAATGTGGTTAATCCACAATATATGGGATAATCCTTCCCATTGACTTTCATATTTTTCAGAGGGGTTGAAACCACCAACCAGGTATGTATGCAACCAACCAGTTAAAGCAATAATTCAATAAACCATCCCCCAAATCACCATAAATAGGTGCTCTAAACCATTCCCAAATGGGTGGTTTATTATTGTTTCAACCACATTATTTTATGATTTATATGGCTTTTCTTGTAGTAGAATTGGATTCTATCTGATTCATGGTCAAACACTGGGACTTGCAACCAACGAAGATGAAGTGGAAAACTATCATTATCCAGAACAAAATCCACTCCTCAGGTTGGTTGGAGGGTATATTTGATTTCCGGTAGGTCTAGCAAACATAAGAAAATTAACTGGGACTTGATATGTTATTGTTGCAGGTGTATTGATGAACAAGACCATGGATGGGTTATGGATCTGATTTTCGTATGGTTTTTCCTTTAAATCAATATCCACAACTACCAGATTTTTGATCCAACAAGCAGGGTATCAGGGCCAGGGGTCCATTCCCCTTATTATTTTCTGGTTTTCTCGTTAGCTTTACTTGTTAAACATGTCTGACAGTGGAACAGCCGAGCTGGGCGTTCATTTTTTTTCCTGAATCACTTGGCAAATCATCCGGAAAGTTCTAGTTGGAGTTCCTTGTTTGTTGCAAATCAAAGTTCTCCAATCCGATTAGTAACTTCAACTACACTTAGTGACATGTTTTGTCAATTCAACTATACTTAGTAAACGCATTTCCAACTAGTAAATTAGTAAACAGATCTATGGGAATTTCAGGATCCTAAAATGGAGGTACTGTACCATATAAGACCATATTTTGTTGGGATATTCCCTTACATAGGCCTTATCTAGACCTTATATATATGGTAGGTACCTCCAATTTAGGATCCTGAAATTCCCATTGAACAGATGGATTTCAACTATTTCAAACAGTTTGTGAACCGTAGAGTAAACGAAGCCAGGCATTCTTCCGGTTGACATTTGCCCCCAGGAACGCTCCATTGTCGCCCAGCTCGCCGTCGCCGGGGCAATCAGTTTGGTCCTTTTTGATTAAGGATAGGGGGATCACAAAAAAAAACATCCAAAGCCATGATGAGAAGCCATAAACCATGATGGTATAACTAGGATATGGTGTGTTTATTCTACTACCCTCTGGTAAACTAACATGGCTATGGAGAATCACCATTTTTAATGGATAAATCAACTATAAATGGCCATGTTCAATAGCTATGTTTGTTTACCAGAGGGTATAATATTTGTTGGTTTACAACTCCCATTGCCGCTTTTCCCTCCCGTAAACCAACAACATAGATGTGGTGTTTACCCACCATGAATGTAGATCATTTTCCTAGGGAAACCATGGGTTTTCCCCATCTATGTAAACGTTTACCCCAGGGTAAATATACCCTCTGGTAATTTAACATAGCTATTGAACATGACCCGATTATAGTTGATTTACCTATTAAAAATGGTGATTTTCCATAGTTATGTTAGTTTACCAGAGGGTACATCTACCATGAACCATAGTTATCCTAAACCAACTTCGCTGAGCATGGGACACCGCCTCGCTTTGAGAGCTTTGCCACCTATGTCTGTGTTCAGTCTTGGCTTGCACCGGACTTTGAGGGCTCCAAGTTTTGAGACATGGCCCAGATGCTTTGCATTCTCATGATAATCATTGGTAAAACGGCAATCCCAGAGGCTTACAATTCCTTCCCGTTTAGTTATAAACACCTCAGAAAGACTGGCACAATGAATAATAATCAATGACCATCAATAACCGTCCATAATCATCAATCATCATCAATAACCATCAATAACTACCATAAATAACCATCCATAACCATCAATAAGGACCTATAATTGTGGATCTGCTAATTTCAGGATCCATTTGTTGGGCTTTGATGTCCTGCCCAGGAACCCTTCGAACCAGTCGTCACCCAAATCACCGTCGCGGGCTAAGATCCATGAGCTTGCCGAAGCCGAAAATGGGGTATACCCCCCAACTGATCCCAAATAGAATCTTATTGGTAAATACTCTGATAAACACATATACACGTATGTTATAAATTTGATCTACCCCCGGGGCAGTAACAGTGAGCACAAGCCAGGGGCACAAAATGAGCACCAGCCAAATGCAGAAAATAAGGGTCTAATCTGGTGATATGATACGGATAAATTCTTATACAAAATCAAAAAACGGACCAGGTAGACACCATTGATATCTAAATCATCAAATGGTTGAAAAAATGTTTCATGTGAATCGGAAGGAATCAAGCTGCACAGGTTTCTGTTTCTCTCTTCTCGGCTCTGGCTGCTACAGATTTGCTAGGAACTGGCCAACTTATCACCAACATTCCGTTGGAAACCTTAGCAAATCGCAGCAACTCCGACAACCTTAGCAATGACAACTAGCAACAATAACAACAACCGCCCCACAACCAGCGACAGCACCACCACGACCACCACCACCAGCAGCAGCGGCAGCAGCAGAAGCAGCAGCACCACCACCACTACCACCACGACAACCACCTGGGGGGTTGGGGCTGGCTGGGGCTGTGGCTGGGGCTGGGGCTGGACTTGGCTATAGGGTTTAAGGGTTTAAGGGTGTAAGCGCTTCGCCCAAAAACTATTTTAAGAAAAAAATATATAATCTATATATATATATATATTTAATAGAAATCAAAAAAAGAAGATATATTTATTGAAAATTCTAAGAAATATATATATATATGCACTTTGTTTTTTAAGAGAAACTAATATATGACAAAAACATAACAATATCCATGTTAAATTAATATATGTTTTCAATGTATCAAACATTTAAATTAAATATCTAAGATAAAAACTATATTATATAAATGCAATATATATATACATACATTTTTTTTTTTGAAATTTATACTTAAATTTATAATTAAATATATTAAAATCCTTTCTCCTTTCCCTTTCCCTTTCTCCTTTCCCATTACACATGGAACGCAGTGGTAATCTATAGATGGCGCAATCCAAAGGTATGGTTTTCCAAACCAAAATGAACCCCAAATTCATTGCGATCTTAATGCTAAATTAAATTTAACTAGAGGAAAACAGGTATTTGTCAACCTAATGTGCTGGGAATTTTTTTCGATGGCGCAAATATCCTCTTCGTTCAGGTGGTCGATAGATGGCGAAATTCAAAAAATTAGCGCCATCCACGATTTTTTTGGAGTATATATATATATGTATACATATACATATATACATATATATGTATATATATATATATGTATATATATATGTATATATATATATATATGTATATATATATACATACACATACATATATATATATCAGAATATGGTTTTGGTCAAATTTTATCGACCTCATAATGAGCTCAGAGTGAATGGGGGTTAGTAGAGGCAAGTATGAACAGAAAGGGTTTACTGCAGGGGTATAGAAACAATACCAATTTGCCCAGGTGATATAGTATCTGCTAGAAGATGTATCATGCAGTCTGAAACGACAGAAAATCGTGGCAAAACTGAAGAGACACGCATTATTTTGTATAGTAACCCACAAAAAGATAGAAACGGTGTTTATCAATATTTTTGCACGATTTTACCTTTTTATCCTGCTGCGGGGTGCTATATACATAGATATAGATATTTAGACTTTTATAGAATTATAGGCTATAGGTTTATATATTTTTAAATATAAGTAGTTAGTTAGATGGATGGATAGATAGATAACCAGATAAATACAGAGATAGATAGGCATGTAGATACTTTTGATGTTTTTGCCTGGACATTCGTGGCAACTTTCTTGGAAGGCCGGCAGTTGCTACTGAGGAACCCGAGGAACCGGGTGAAGGTGGCACATCTGGGCGTGACTTGGCGGCTGTGTTGTCATGTGGGTGTGTCTGAAAATAGTGTACCCCTAAACCCAATGGTTAATGATCATTATCCCTATTAAATTGCTATTAAATTGGGAATATACCCTATTTTCAGACAAACCCATGTGGTTTTTTTTTGAAATGGCGGTAAACCAAGGTAAAATGGCCACACCCTCGGGTAAAATGGCCACATATCCCGTTTTCCAACCACAGAAAATCACGTCATTCTATATTTTTCATGTTGAATCTTAGCCGCTCTTTGAGAACTATCCCAGTAAGAACAACATCCTGAAATACAAGGCGAGGTCCCCAGAGTTATAAGTTGGTTTATAAACCCATTGACTATGTATCCCCCATAAACTCAACAGTTAACCAAGTGAACTGTGCGTGAATCTGTCACTATTTTCATCAACAGGGGCCTGACCTCAAAAACATGATTGTTGGTGAACAAATCCCCATGAATCCCGATGAATTCCTATGAAACACCATTAAACACCATTAAACCATCCATTAAATCACCATTAAATCACCATAAATCACCATTAAATCCCACTAAATCACCATGAAATCATCCATGGAATCACAATTTTTTAAAACCCATTGGGGACCCCATGGGATCCACTCAGGATGAGATAGATCATGGCGATCGAAGGCAGGTGGATCAACAGATCCATTCGATCATTTGGATAGTCAATATACTATTTAGGTTATATACTATGATATATGCTATTATATATACTATTATATATACTAATATATATATACTATTATATATACTATTATATATACTATATTATATACTGTCAATGATTGGTCATATGCCATACTTATCCAACAGATAAAGTACTAATTAAATTTACTATTACCCAAACATTATCCATTCAATGATTTCGAAGTGTCCATTAAAAAAGTCGATCATCCCACCATCAAAAATGATCGGCCTCCCAAATTGGATGGGTTTTGCGGGTACCTCAATGACTTAAGCTGGGTGCATTTCTGTTGGTGCAGCTAAATCCCAACTGCCTAAATTCCATTGTAAATGGATTAAATCCATCAAATCAGAGCAATTTTTAGATGATCCAATCCCTAAATGTCAGAAAAGTGACATCCAATTCAAAAATGAATTTTGAGTTTATCATCATTTATATCATAATTTTTGGGATTTAATTTTAGCTAATTTTTGAGTTTATCATCTCAATCCATCAAATCCTATCTTGCTCTGTTTTGAGAAACATTTTCACAATACTACACCATCACACTAATCAATGTCCACAAATATACACATTATGATTGGTGGTGTATATCCACAATTGGGAGTGATTATACCACCAGAATATTATTGGGAGTTACCCTCTGGTAAACTAACGTAACTACAGAAAATCACCATTTTTAATGGGAAAATTCACTATTTCTATGGCCATTTTCAATAGCTAACTGTTAGTTTACCAGAGGGTAACCACCATCACAAGAATCAATGTCCACAGAATCATGTGGTTGGTGGTTAACTCCCAATGATTTGTTGCTTCCAGTTGAAAGCTCCTCGATCCAGCATAAAGTCGCTACTCTATACCCTCCTGTCATAGCCACTAAATCCCATTTAATCCCAATGAAATCACCGTTTTTGGTTAACATCCCATTTATTGCCATTAAATCCCAATAACAATCCAATAAAAATCCCTATAAAATCTCCATAACATCGCGTTAAGACCCATATTTTTGCCATTTGGATCACCAAGCTATGACGGCTGCCGTTGCCGATGTTTTTCGCCAGGCATGGGTCGAAGAGAACCCCACGGTCCAAGGACCGGGGACCGGCGATGGGATCTCGTATGGGATGAAATATGGGTTATATATGTGTAATACAATAGATATAACCCTTACTGGTTGGTGGTTTCATTTTTTTTCCATAGAATGGGAAAAATACTCCCATTTGACTAATATTTTTCAGAGGGGTTGAAACCACCAAACAGTAGATGTAACCCTTATCTATTTATATCTTATATATATAATTTATACATGTTTATATACATAAATAAACAATAGATATCCCCATGATATGTAAGTAACCATATTATGCGGGATTATAAATGGAGATATATTATATACATAATCATATGTGTTAATATGGTTAATGATGATATATCCCCATTTATAATAACCAATATGTGTATAATGGGTATCTACAAAGTCGGTTTTCCAGCTATGTTTTCCATATATTATGTGGGGGTTTTCTGAAATAGGGGTACCCCTAAATCATCCAATTCCTTTGGATTTTCCATGACAAACCAGCTATTGTGGGATCCCCCATTTTAATATTAGGAACCCCCCATATGTATATACATGGATTATAGAATGTGTATATATATATATATACATCCCATGTTATCCCCATAATGGTTACTTGGATGTGCATCCTACTTAGTAAATGGGGTGAGAAACCCTCAGTTAGATGAACATGGAATATTCCCTATCTATGGGATGAAGTATGGGCTAGATCAATGGACTGTATACACCACGGATCCGATTCGTGGGGCCCACACATCCAAGTAATGTATGATGTTAGTAAACCAATAGTAAATTATCCCCACTTTTATAACATAGATGCGTGGTATAAACCAACTCAAGATGTGTGGTTTATTATTGCTTTACACGCATAATTGAACATGGAGCTATGTATATACATCTTAGCTATTATATGGGACTATTGTAAAATATGGGAAAACATGCATACTTCGTTAATAAGGGGACTACAAATTAATTATGTATACACGTTATCAATGTTTCATAATTCATTGATATTTTTTGTATATAATGTACATACATATTTTTTCGCATTGTGAATGGACAACCCATCCTGCACCAGTTGGTAACTATCTATGAAACACTGTAAGTTGCACGGGATGATTTCTGGATTTCTTCCCAGAACGGCCGAATGGCCGACATGTGTCTGGTGAATTATTTGGAAAATTCGTCCGTATCGATACATAAATAGATGCATTAATGTATAGACTATCTATGCTCACAATTGAATGTACACACATATATAAGAATATATATATATGTATATATATACATACACATAGTGTGTACAGGCGCATATGAACATGTATTTACGATGGATTGTGTCAAAGTATGGCATCTATGACATGAATCGCGAGTCTTAGATTCCACATCAACTGCTGTGATTCATCTACTACAGATTATCATATCAACATCCACCCCATAGCGATCCAGTACAAACTTGGTTTATAAACCCTATTCGCATCCATTAGCTACAGGTGTAATTGCCATAAACCCTAGTGAAATTGGAGTTACAAATCAACTTAGCCAACGTAAATCAACCAAGCCACATTTGTTGTTGAAGTCCCATTCAAATCAGCTAACCCTGTGAACATTTGGTGATTAAGAACCCTCCGGTGTGTCATAAGAAACCATTTGGGGCTATGTGGGGCGAGGAGTCTCCAGGGGGAATGCCGCTGAGTCCACATCGACTGGCAATTGGCCAGGGGTCTCAGATGACGCAGCGACGAAGGTTTCATTTAGAACGGAAAGTTGGTATATAATATGATTTATAAATTAGTTGGTATAATTGGTTGTAATAACACATTGGGATATAGTTGGGATATAATTGGTTGTAATTATCACAAGCAGTAAGTTCAAAATCATTTAGTTCTAAGCTAGTGATAATTGAAATTGGGACGTATGATTTGTTGGGGGGTTGTAAATCTAATCCCGATTGTATCCCTACTAAGCTAGTGATAATCTAATTGTCTATCTTTTTGGGGGGTTGCTGTAGTAGGGATACGATGGGGGATTTATCTACCAGCAAATGGGGATCTAATGGGAATATAATGGGACATAGCAGCCCAATTGGTATCATGATGGATGTTGGGGATATCATGGGAATATATGCAGCACAGTAGGAGTAAAGGCAACAATATTGGGATACAACGGACGTATTGGTCATCAATCATGACATATGATGGGAGAATGATGGAGGGATTAAGCAATGGAGATTTAATGGAATTTTTGATAGGGATATAGAGTCTAATATAGAGGATTTAACCACCAGCAAAAGGAAAGCACTGGGAACATAATGGGACTATGATGGGTATGTTTCATGTGAAAAAGGGATGTATGAATCTTTAACGGAGATATAATCCCATCAGTAGCTATGGATTCCATGAAGAGAATGGATATATGTTGGGAGAATGATGGGGATGTTTTCTGTGATGTATCATGGGATATGATAGGGATATATTGGGATTGAACCAACAGCAAATAGGAAATACGAGAGGGGTGGTGGTTTCAGTGCGGCATCGTTAAGTTGGTTTAGTTCAATCATATTTCACTGGGGTTAGCCTGGTAGATGTATCTATACTTAATGTAGTTATAAGCCAACTTACAACTAGGGCACCACCGCAAGTAGGTCCACATAGCTATTTTGGGCTGACAGTGTCGGATGGGATGGCCATTGTTGCTCAGGGATGAAAATTATAGCTGAAGAATCACAAGACATCAGAGCTGAGCAAGTTCAAGAATATGGATATCGGCTTCCAAAGGATATATATATAAGCTATATATATATAAGCTATATATATATAAGCTATATATATATAAGCTATATATATATAAGCTATATATATATAAGCTATATATATATATATTCATACACTTTTCATATTCATATAGGATTTATAGGATATCAAGTCTCCAGTACTTAGTCACTACTTCCTCAAGGATATATATATAGGCTTCGGAAGAGACTGGGGAGTCTATTTTTTGGGTACAGCTCAGCCCCCAAGCGCCCATCAGTCCGACAAGTCTTCAGAATGATGATCTGAATTCGAGGATCATCCGATTATCATTGATGATCCACGACGTCTTCAATGTTTCAATGATAATGAATGATATCATACTTGTACAAACTGATTATCATTGATGATCCTTTTTTTTTTGGCTGGTACCAGTATGGTAGAGCCATGGTTTCCGGTAGATTTCCCCTTAGACCAACCCAATGAACGACTGGGGTCGAAACCTGCCAAGATAGCGCGCTGCAGTGCATGCAGAGTAGGCAGGGCAGTTTCAACAACTCCCGGGTTTTTACCCTCTGGTAAACGTTTACATAACTATGGAAAATCACCATTTTCAATGGGTAGATCCACTATAAATCACCATTTTCAATAGCTATGAGGGTAAGTGGGATCCCAACGAATCATTGGATAACTATGGGACTACCTGGGGAGAACTATGGGATCACTATGGGATAACAATGGGAGTATGATGATCATTAGATAACTATAAAAGTGATCCCATTAGATAAACTACGGGTATCTTCTATGGTATAATGGTTATCTAATGATTATCTAATGATTATCTGATGGTATACAATAATCATTAGATAATTACATATAATTACGGGATCTTTCTGGAAATGACAGGATTATTGTAACAGTTTTAACAGAGTTCATCCCCAAATTGTTGTTTAGTATTGTGTTTGTGCAAACTGTATATCCCTACCTGGGATATCGGTTGTCGCAGCAACTGCTAGCTATTGATAGCTGCTGAGTTTGGTGACATTTGCAACTTTGATACATTGTTTCTACTGAAAAAAATGGAGAAGACCGCAAAACCTCAGTCCAACCCATGGTTCATCATCACTTTCCCTTAAAAACTACTTAAAACTACCCTGAAGTAGGTTTTACCCTCTGGTAATCAAACATGGCTTGCTGGAAAATCCAGCACGTCCAGTATAGATGATTTTCCCAGCTATAAGCATCCATTTATAGGGAATTTCCAATTACCATGTTTGATTACCGAAGGGCAAATTCCGCATTTCTGGGACGAATCCATAGTTCGGGCTGACACAGCCCTTGCGCCCTGCAGCCAGCCAGGAAGTCGCAACTGGATGTTCGAAATGTGGCCACAAGCTCAGAAAAAGGGTCAAGTGCTGATGGGAAAAATTGGGAAACTGGTTGAAGTTGAACAAAACATGGGGATTCACCCGATTCCAAACCACTGATTTCACCCCATGAATCTCGTCCGGGCTTCGGCATAGCCCAGGAGCGACCCAGCAAGTGGAATCTCGCGCGACTCGCATTGGCAGGTGAAGCTCAGATCGAAGCTTTCACATGAAGAGAAGTTCTTTGATTTGCCATCAACGGGGGTATACCTATATCTATATCTATATCTATACCTATATCTATATCTATACCTATATCTATATCTATATCTATATATAATGATATATATAATTATATATATATATTATAGTTATTATATTTATAATACAAATATGAATATATATATATGTATATATGATGATTATATAAATGCAATAGATATGGAATCCATGATTTATAGAAGCTGGATGGATCTACACACGCATGCAAACATATAGAAAGATATGAAGATCAGTCAAAACACTGGGGGGGCCTGCAGTTCGCACCAAAAATAGCTGGTGTTTATGGATGTTTATGGATGCTTGTCCTCTGAAATATGCTATTTCTATAATCTATTTCCTAGGTTTGATCCATCTACGAAAAAGTTGCAGGTCCGCAAAGCGATGAAGATGGAAGTCGGGAGCACAGGGGATGGCGGCTGATGCCTCCGGCTTTCAAATGTAGCTGCATGGGAAATCCTCTATACATGGAGGATTATAGCTGGGAAAATCATCTATAATTGGTGGATTTTCCAGCAAGCCACGTTTGAGTTCCGAAGGGTATACCCCTGGAATTTGCCATTCTAATGAGGAAAATTATCGCCAACCATCAAATTTGGGGTTTAGCCTAGATTTTCAGACAAACCAATTTGAATTTGTCAACTCAGTAGTAAACCCTGACTATCAATTGCGGGGGTGCTAGGTTTGACAGCCACTTACTTGGTAGACACACGCACACACGTCCACATACGGACTGGTTTTTACTTCGGGGATGCCATGATGGCATGCTGCGGGTTCCTCCAAGCATTGGAACCCGCACATCTCAGATCTGACAGAAGTCCAAAAGCTTTTGAGACGCGTGAAAGGCCGGCACCCAGTGGGTACCACTGTTCTCCGCGAATTTTTCACCCCGGGGGTGAGGATGAAAGCTGGCAACATGTTTTCAAGCACAAAGATTTGTTTCGAGTTCTCAAAGTAGAATTTTGAAAGCTGATTATTCCTCACTGGAGGATGCATCCTTCGTAAGTGGGTAGCATCGTGGTTGTGGCTAGTATTTATATGTATTTATGTATCATTTCTGCAAATGGCTTATGTCCACAGTTCTATATGTGTCATGGTCAAAAGTTGGATTGTGTAGCCGTATATCTTGGATCCGCGTGATGGGATGAGCATAAAGCATGCCTAGTTTGACCCCAGCATATAGGGTTTATAAATGGATCATGAAATACAGTTTACAACATATCCAATGGTTAATTACCGGATAACATATTTACATCAATTATTATGTATAAATTATATATCATGAAGTATTTATTAAACACTGGATATACAAACATACAGTATATATCACATCACCATTTTTAGACATCACCATACGTTACACATATTTTCCATGTTTTATAACATGACCATGTTGTATTACATAATATATAGGTAGTATAATTACATATACACAGCCATAGTGTACTATGTTTTATACATGGTTTATGAACTGGATTGGAGCTGGGCTGATACATTTCACTGCAGGTGAATACACCACAGTGACTCAAAAGGAGGTGGGGGGACCCGCTGGCTGGGGACCCGGGGGTCCAGCCAGGTGCTACAAAATGGATCCACTAAGTGGGGATTAAGTGGGGATATGGTTGATATATATGGTTGATATATGGATGATATATGGATGATATATGGATGATATATGGATGATATATGGAACCAAACATGGGAATTTGAATTCGAATCCAAACATAGGGATTTCTCCGATGAATGCTGGATGATGGCTTTCCAAAAATTTGAGGCATACCCAAAATGGTCACTTTCATTGCGGAAAATCATGCGAAACCTACAGGATGGGGGTGCGTGGTGGAAGACAAGACCTGGAAGATGAGCCATTTCGATGGTTTTCCCAGCGAACTAAGCCGAGCAAATCGCCATGTTGTTTGAGTTTCCCGGCAATCGCCATGTTTGATGACGGAGGAAATTCATGGCATCACCCATAATCACACACACATAGAAAGATGATCTGTATCCCCATTCAATAACTCTAAAACTATCATCTTTCTAAATCTAATCTATATTAAGCCACACATCCCATATCTAACTACCAATAAAACCAGCAGTTGATGGCTTTGATGGTAGGGTTATCCAGCCACGCAGGATGTTTTAGAGACCATCATGAACGCTACGGCCCACGCCAGCTTCGAGTGCCTAGGAGCGGCGCGGTTGGTTGAGGTTGTTGGTTGAGATGATTTTTTTCAGAGGCGCTAATAAACAAATACCCTCTGGTAATTTAACGTAGCTATTGAAAATGGCCATTTATAGTGAGTTTTCCCATTAAACATGGCAATTTTCCATAGTTACGTATGTTAGTTTACCAGAGGGTATATGTTGACTGTTGACTTAGAATCTAGAAATTATAATTCACTTGGTGCCTGTGAGTGATTTTCGTTCAAGATAGATTCTGAGGATGAAATGTCTCATGTCCTGCCAAGATGTTGGGATGCCGTGGTTCCTGGGAAGGGCTACCCGGCTACCCGGCTACCCTGTTTGTTTTGGGCCATAGGGAGCTACCTCCAAATTGTGATGCCCCAAAATCCAAATCCCATGATGGTCATGATTTGGGTATGGGTCAATACCTATTAATACCATTTTTAGTGGGATGAACATCCATTTACCAGCTATTTTGGGGTTCACTAGGTACCAGGGTTTTGACCCATCCCCATTTATCATCCTTTCCCTCATGAAAATTGTCATTTTTGCGGATCAATCCAGCAGTTTGAGACACAGCCCTAGGACGCTTCGAAATGGAACCCTCGTGCGCCGATCTGCCGTCGATCTGGGGTTCGATCTGAGTCTATGGTGGAATGAAGTCGTTTCCAAAGTTATGGCTTGGGGACTGTCAGATACCATGGTAAACCAACACAGCAATGGAAAAGCCATATTTTTAGTATCTTTACTGGGTAAATCAACTAATAATGACCATTTTCAATAGCTATGATAAATTACCAGAGGCGTAGGATACCATGCTTGGGGCTGCAGTTGGGGTCATTAATGAAAACAAACATGGTAATAACCAACACAAGTTGGGATAGGGCCACACATCTCTATGGTTAAATACCACACTTATGACTAGAACTGCAACCCCAAGTAACCATAGCCAACTGAAACACATTCGAACATTTTGAGCTATGACACATTTGTATACATTTGTCAGTGTCGGTTTTCAAAAGATACCCTTGAAGATTCCACTATTTGAGAGCTGCTCTCTGGTTTTTTTGTTTCTTTCATGGCCAAATCAGCATCTCCGGGCTCAAGCACGCTGCAGTCGCTAGATCGTTTTCAAGATGAGTCTTTATCTTTGCACCTCGTCCAAACTTGGTGTTTTTTTGAAAGGCCCAGCAGCCCGGTGGAAATTCGTTTGACCAATCAGACATCGGCCCGGTAGCATCGAAATCCCCGCCAGCTTCATTGTGGCCATTTGTGTTTTTTTTTGTTTTTTAATAGGGAGATACCCCAATTAAAGAACATTTTCTCATAGGGGAAATGAGGTTTGAATGTGTTTTAGTCCATTGGCATTGGGGGATTCCCCAATTTTCAGACCCCAAAAATGGACCTTGAGGTCTTTGGTTTTCTGTTGCTGTGGCAGTTAACCCGCCTTTGGGTACGCATCAGCTGTTGGAGTATGACGTGGATCTGGAAGCCAGTCCACTGGAGCGTTACGCCAACGTCTACTTCGATTTCCTGCAGCGCCGCGGTGAACGCGGCCTGAAAGCGTTCCAAGAAACCTATCAGGCGGAGACTCTAACTGGGAATATGAAAAATGGATTGGTTTAAGGGAAAACCTTAACCGGAAACATCCGGAAACCATAGATTTTCCCGTTAAATATAGGGTTTTCCTGTAAAACGAATCCATGGAAATCAGTGGCAGAAGTTCGTGAAGTGATGAATAGAAATGAACATCGCCAATTTATATATCATTTTCCCATAAACCTCCATTTATAGCGGGATTTTCCAGCTAGCCACGTTTGATTGAGGATACTCCAGACATCGCCGCTGGTAGAAGTCTTCGATTTCTGCTGGTTGGACACCATTTTCAGGGGCTTTATCAATAATTTACCGGGGTCAACAAGCGTGGCTTATATCATATACGGTATACAATGTGGGGCCCCCAAGATAGCTAAGTTGGTTTATAACTCCAGTAACTATGATTTATGGTACTTATAACTATAGTTAATGGGGTTTATAAATCAATTTATGACTAGGGGGCCCCACATTGTAGTATGTGCGCGTATTTTGGGGGAGTTGGAAGGACCATAAGTAAGCCACAGTAATTACTGAACAGCGTCAGGCGTGGCATGCTCGGCTACGCTCGGCTTTGCCAGAGATCTTCGGTGCGAACGAGACGCAGAAGCAGCAGAGATGGTGGGAGGTCGCAATGCTGAGATTGTTATTTATTTACTGGCGCTTAGTCGGGAATTGGGAAATGATCCAATCACTATTTGACAATCATCTCATTCCCTCATTCCCTATTAAGCACCAGTAAGTTTATGGCAATGGTACCCTTTCGTTTTTTTGTTCAAGAACTTAAACAACAAATTGTTGATAGGTTTTCAATGCTTTTTCACCATTTAAGTAGTGCTTGACAAGGAAGAATAGTGTGAAATACTACCTGATTCCGGGGATTGTGGACCAGAATCCTACAGGGTGAGGCTCCAAAGGATAGCTAAGATAAATTATGTCTTTTGGTAGACATATCGAACTACATTGTTCATGGGGTGAAAGTAAACTTATGACTACCAATCCTGCTAACCACTGAGGACACTGAAAATAATTATTTCTGCGAGGAAGGGTGTGAAGAATCTGTAAGAAGAAAGTGTAAGAAAATTGTAAGTTTTTTTGTTTTAGTTTAGACCGTGTGAGTGAATGTGTGAGATTGGAATCATTTATTTTGTACTATCATGTTGCATGATGAAACGGATATATGATATATATATATATATATAATATACATGTATGTACATCATGAAAAAATCGGACATTGAACACTTCAAATGGCCATATCCTGCGATGATGACGCAATGCAGCACATACCAGGCGCCAAAAAACACCCATAGAAATCTGAAGACAGGATTGCTCGCAGAGTTTCTCGCGCAAATCTGACAGATCTTCTCACATGTCCCGTCCTCCCCCATAGATCCGCTCACAGATTTCTCACAGATCTTCTCACAGGTCCCTTCGTACCTCACAGATTTCTCACAGATTTCTCACAGATTTCTCACAGATTTCTCACAGATTTCTCACAGATTTCTTACAGACTTCTCACAGATTTCCCACAGGTTTCTCACAGATTTCTCACAGACTTCTCACAGATTTCTTCCTACCCATGGCTGAAGGAAATCTGTGAGAAATCTGTGATTTAGCTTGTGTGTTTCAATTTTTGGTGGATGATTCAAGCAACTGGGCTATTTTGTTAGTGACCTAAAATTGCGATTTTACCTGGTAAATTACAGATTTCTCACAGATTTCTCACAGACTTCTCACAGCCTTCTTCCTACCCATAGCTGAAGGAAATCTGTGAGAAATCTGTGATTTAGCTTGTGTTTTTGATTTTTTGGTGGATCATTCAAGCAACTGGGCTTTCTTGTTAGTGACCTAAAATTGGGATTTTACCTGGTAAATTACAAATTTCTCACAGATGTCTGACAGATTTCTCACAGCCTTCTTCCTACCCATGGCTGAAGGAAATCTGTGAGAAATCTGTGATTTAGCTTGTGTTTTTCAATTTTTGGTGGATGATTCAAGCAACTGGGCTTTCTTGTTAGTGACCTAAAATTGGGATTTTACCTGGTAAATTACAGATTTCTCACAGATTTCTGACAGACTTCTCACAGCTTTCTTCCTACCCATGGCTGAAGGAAATCTGTGAGAAATCTATGATTTAGCTTGTGTTTTTCAATTTTTGGTGGATGATTCAAGCAACTGGGCTTTCTTGTTAGTGACCTAAAATTGCGATTTTACCCGGCAAATTACAGATTTCTCACAGATTTCTCACAGACTTCTCACAGCCTTCTTCCTACCCATAGCTGAAGGAAATCTGTGAGAAATCTGTGATTTAGCTTGTGTTTTTGATTTTTTGGTGGATCATTCAAGCAACTGGGCTTTCTTGTTAGTGACCTAAAATTGCGATTTTACCTGGTAAATTACAAATTTCTCACAGATTTCTGACAGATTTCTCACAGACTTCTCACAGCCTTCTTCCTACCCATGGCTGAAGGAAATCTGTGAGAAATCTGTGATTTAGCTTATGTTTTTCAATTTTTGGTGGATGATTCAAGCAACTGGGCTTTCTTGTTAGTGACCTAAAATTGGGATTTTACCTGGTAAATTACAAATTTCTCAGAGATTCCTTTCACCACGCAAAGGAAGCCGTCTGTGAGAAAATCTGCAATCTACTAGGTAAAATTGCAATTTTCGGCCACCAGCCACAGAACCCGGCTGCTTCGATGATACACCAAAGTTGAAAAACATTGTGGAAGCTTTCGTGATGTGGGGTGCCGGGGGCTCACGCGCGGAAGCCAAGATAAATCTGTGAGAAATCTGTGATCAGAATCTGTGAGAAATCTGTGAGGTGTGAGGGGGTCTGTAAGGGGATCTGTGAGCGGGACTGTGAGGTGTGAGGGGGTCTGTGAGGGGATCTGTGAGCGGGACTGTGAGGGGGTCTGTGAGGGGATCTGCCAGCGGCAATCTGAATTGTGAAAGTTTTTGTGATAAGTTTGAACGAGATGTGGGGCGTAAAGGAAATGTGAGGAGAAATGAAGTGAGGAAGTACGGGAGTGTCAAGGCGGTGAAAGAATGCGAAGGGAAGCGCGAGTGGACCTGTAAGGGAAAGGTCTGCTACACGCCACACTTTCCTCACATGCACGCACCCAGACTGTAGTACATCTCACAATTTTGTTCACATATATAAATGAAGACCCTGATTTTCCCACAGATTTCTCACAGATTTCTCACAGTTTCAGCTTACAGAAAAATCACAGATTGAAAGTCAAAATAATTATTTGGGCCTCTCCAGAGCTTGCCTAGCATCGGTAGTCATAAAAGTAAACAAACTAAATCAACATCGAACAATTGGGGACTTCCATTTTCCCAACTTTTTTTTTCACCACCTTTTCCTCCAGCCGTTCCGTTCTTAACGTCGTTAGGCGTTGCGCAGGGGGCACCCCGTGGCCGCCGCCGAGCTGTATGGCCTGTCACAGCGGCTCGGAAGCGACGTGGCAGGCGACGTGGCAGCGCTGGCCACTGCGGTGTCCCTCTACCCGCTGCTGATCATTTCGCCCAAGGTGAGGCAATGCCAAGGGGGGCCAAGGTTTTTCGGTGAGGAAATGCCAAAAAATGTCCCGGACATCCACTACTGGGAGCAACTCCAATGATGGGATTCCGACTGATTATGGAGATTTGGCCATAACAAGATTTAGTTTGGGATTCCATAGATTTGTTGGGATTTCTAATTATTTAATTGCCTGCGGCAAGCCCGCCGGCCATAGCCATTTGGTGCATAGAGACATTTTAATGAGCCTTCGGCGTATTCGCAGACCGTGGCCTGGACAAAAACAAGGCCAGTGTGTGTGTGTGTAAAAAAGCATCTGTGCGTCAAAGCTGCGGTGTGTAAAGGCTTCTGTGTGTAAAAGCATCTGTGCGTCAAAGCTGCCGTGTGTAAAAGCTTCGGTGTGTGAAAGCGTCTGTGTGTATAAGCGTCTGTGTGTAAAAGCATCTGTGCGTCAAAGCTGCGGTGTGTAAAAGCTTCTGTGTGTGTAAAAGCATCTGTGCGTCAAAGCTGCGGTGTGTAAAAGCTTCTGTGTGTAAAAGCATCTGTGGGTCAAAGCTGCGGTGTGTAAAAGCTTCTGTGTGTAAAAGCATCTGTGCGTCAAAGCTGCGGTCTGTAAAAGCTTGTGTGTGTAAAAGCATCTGTGCGTCAAAGCTGCGGTGTGTAAAAGCTTCTGTGTGTAAAATCATCTGTGGGTCAAAGCTGCGGTGTGTAAAAGCTTCTGCGTGTAAAAGCATCTGTGCGTCAAAGCTGGGGTGTGTAAAAGCTTCTGTGTGTAAAAGCATCTGTGCGTCAAAGCTGCGGTGTGTAAAAGCTTCTGTGTGTAAAAGCTTCTGTGTGTAAAAGCCTCTGTGTGTAAAAGCTTGTGTGTGTAAAAGCTTCTGTGCGTAAACTTCTGATAAGTCGGAGTAGGCGTCGGAGGAGGCGTAGGAGTGGGAGTAGGAGTGGGAGTAGGAGTGGGAGTAGGAGTAGGAGTGGTAGTAGTACCAATGGCAGTAGTGGCAGTAGTGGCGGTCGCAGTTGCAGTAGCAGTAGTAGTAGTAGCAGTAGCAGTAGTAGTAGTAGTAGTAGTAGTAGTAGTAGTAGAAGTAGTACTAGTAGTAGTAGTAGTAGTAGTCGTCGTCGTCGTCGTAGTAGTAGTAGTAGTCGTGGTAGTGGTGGTGGTGGTGGTGGTGGTAGTGGTAGTGGTAGTGGTAGTAGTAGTGGGGGGAGGGGGGGGGAGGGGTGAAGAGGGGCCCTAGCGTCTACTTCAAGATCAGCTAAGGCGTCTTCCCCAATGACAGCACTCTTTTACTCTCAGCCTGTTGCCGGTCAGTGCTTGTCTACAGGGTTACTCTCTATACCTCTTGAGCCTTGAAGGGCGCATATAAATGTGCTCAATACTCATGCATAGTACCTGGTAGGTATTAGGTCGAAACAAAAACACAGGCACAAATTCAAAAGCAATGAGTAGAGCACTATGCCTTGCCGTACCCAATTGGTATTAAGAGTATCTTCCTGACTTCTCTACACAATGGCAAATAGCAAACTAAACCGGAGTTACGCAGTGGCTTCGAATTTAAACACGTGAAAGCAGCGAATGTCCTAAGGACATGTCGAAAAAAAAAGAACAGCGGATTCGCTAATTTTTCCAGTAGCGACCAATGGTGCTTCGCGCACGGTCTCTCCATAGGCAAAATGCCTCGCTCTACCGGTGAAAGTTCGAATTGAAAAGTTCGGATTCGCAAGATTCAGAAATTCAGGTCATATGAAAAGCAATTGACCAAATCACGAAATAAACGGAAACAGCGGATCTCCAAAGTTGCTCATTCAAGCGAACAATGGACTGAAATCGAAGTTGGTAATTTTTGGAGTTCGCTCCATTCGGAGTGGTCTGCTCGCAGGATGGTCCATGGAGATAAATGTGTATAGTATCTCTATTTACAAGAGTATCTATTTTACATTAAATTGAAGTTCAGACACTTGTGGCATTATCTCTATCTAAGAGTATATGCCATCTGTGTGAAATAAGTTGATGCACAGAAAAACTGTGCACGGCCTCTCATGCTGTGTTATCTTCATTTAAAGAAGTGTACACTCACTCATAGCCAAAAGCTCGTTCTCCATGGTCTGGACGAAGAAGATGAGGATCCACCCCAACTTGCGTTGCCCTGATACGTTGATGCTTGGCCTTCATATGCCTTTCTCTTTTTCTCCTTCTGTCTTTCCTTCCTTGTATCTGCATACTGCTTCTTCTTGAAAGAATGTTTGTAATGATGTCGTTCATTCCATGACATATCAGAAGGATCAAGATGGATAAGAATTGGATTATGAGCATCACGATCATTTGGGGCAACCATGAAGATGTTGTGATCACCATGTAAGCAAGTTTCATTTACCTTGAAGTAAAATTCACCCACATAGTTCATGCGATCTTCATCACCATCAAAGTCGTCTGGGTGTTCCTGACACATCAAACGTGAATGACCCCACTCAACAACTGCTAACATACAGCAATCACCTTTACCATTTGTCCTGTTCATGAGCTCTTCGGTGTATGTTGCTGTTGTAATGCCATCCAAGTGCGTTGCAAGAAAATCCAAGTCACGATAACTGCAAGAAATGAAATGCTTGACCCTAATTGGAGGGCAAGATGAACCAAAAATACTTGCGCATGGCTTGTGTTGCAACACCTACCATTCTGTTAATCCAGAATTGGATTAGGCTGTGTTGATATGTAGGGACGCCTGGAGATTTTGGTGTGCTGTAATAGCATGCCTTGTTTCCATCACCTGCGATGAAGTCAACTTGATATCTGGCACACTCAAAAGCCATAACAGCTAAGCACTCACCAACAATACCAGCAGAGTCTGATGCATACTTCTGTCCGACGTGATAAACGCACACACGTGTCATCCTCATCCTAGCTCTTGTCAAGTCAACAATCTCATCTGTATCTCGGTCCTTTGTCTTTCCCCAAGATACTTCGAAGATTGCCCATGAGACTTGTCGAACTCGTGTGTCGTTGTCATCTGTGTGATATCCAGCAATTTGCTTGATATAGCCATCCTTTCCAAGGCGAGCTGCCACCATCAAGTCATGATAGTCATTGAAGCAAGTTTTAAAGTCAACCTCGTCGAGTCTTTCTCTGTGAGGATACAATGAACCAGCCTCGCAATTCATGAAAAGATGTCCTCCAAAGTTCTTGATGACATTGATGAAGTAATTGTTGAACTGTGATTTGTTCTCATCAAATTTTTCATGATCCTCATCAATAGTGTAGTCAATGTGTGGAATGAATTGTTGAAATCTTTCTGCACCAGTTTCCCAAATTCCAAAACATTGCTGTTATCTGTGGAGAGGATCTGTATGGAAATTCGGCATCCTTGTATGTTGGGTCTGATAGGCCTCCACCTAAATATCTGTAAGCCAAGCTATGCAAGATCATACAGTAAGGCAAGACCTTGTGGTCCTCAACGTAATCTTGGAGTACCTTTGTGAGATTTCCAAAATCGTCATCAATCCTCCTTTCTGCTTCTTTTGAGGATGATTCTGCCTTGTCTTGATGAAGAGGATGCATCCTAGGATCACTACAACCATATTCAATGTGATTATTGAGTTCTTGTAGTTCTAGTTGTGGATTTTGATCCTTGTGTCTGGCAATGTACTCATTCATCAACTGGTCATCTGTAAGATGGTACCAATAATCTTGATGTGGAGACATAGTCTTCCTGTACTTGACATGCCAGAACATGTGTCGATGCTTCGAAGACGCTGGATAACCTTTATTGTAAAATCCTGCCCATTCACCATGGTAACCATCTGAAAAACAATCCTTCAATTTTCGAAAAACTGAATCATCTTCGTTTCCAGTGATATCTTGACCATAGTAAAGTCGAATTGCAGGTTTCACTTCAGGAGCTGTTTCATCATCTTGAATGTCTGCTTTCTTCTCCCCTGATTCCTCCTTCTCTGAGGAGCGTTCAGGTGGAGCTGATTCCTCTTTCTCAAAAGAGCTTTCAGCTGGGACATGTGGCTCCTGTGTGTCTTTTTCTTCTTCTTCTTCGACAACAATCTCTTCATCTTCATCTTCTTCCTCTTGTCGTTCTTCTGTTTTGACAAAACTGTCCTTGATCTTTTGTTGAACGTTCTTGTTGCACATACTGATCCATTTCAATGTACACTCAACCAATTTGTCATCATCAGTTTCCAAAATGATATGCTTGTCCTCAATGTTCAAACTTTCAATAGTGTGCTTGTACTCAGGATCACCAGCGCTCTGTCCTTGAAGGTCTGGAAGAGGAGTGTTTGGATCATCGTCCACCAAATCAGGATCCTCTGCACCAAGGAAATTTTCTGCGCCAAGGTGTTCATTGTCCTTGAGAACCTTGTCAATATCCAGTTTGAACTCATGATACGTGTCATAGGAGATCTCATAACCCATCATAGGTGCATACTGGTCCATAAATGTTGAGAAGGAAGCATCTGATAATGCCGACATCATCAACCATAATGAGAAGTAGCTTATGTCACCACGTTCTAAGGGTTGACCTCCTTCAAGATCATCTCCAGTGAGGATTGCTTGGCCTGCGAGTGTAATATCCTGTAGGATCCTTCTGTGCTCTGGTTTGAGTTGCCTGACTAAAAACAGTCCCTGTCGGTCTTCAGGATTTCTTCGAGGAATTGCATCTGGTAATATTTCATCTTCATGTTGTTCTTGATTTTTCCTTGCAAATGCCTCATCTTGTTGTGGTTGTGTTTCCTCTCTTTCTTGAGAGCCTACACCTTCTTCCTCTCTTTCATGAGAGCCTGATGCTTTTTCCTCCTGTGGCCTAACAAAAACTTGTAGTCTTGGCAAAAACTCCAATTCATCTTCAGCATCATCATCGTGATCTTCCATGTCCACATTCTGTTGCTCTGATTCTGGAATGTGAGCAATCTTGTCTTTTCCTGCTACCCAGATGTAGCCATCGAGCTTTGTAGATGTGTGGAAGTCACCTGAACCGCATTCCCTGACCTTTGTTCGTGCTCTTGCAG